CCTCCCTTCCTTCCTTCCTTCCATAATTTGAGCAGAATATTCTCAGAACTAAAGATGTTTGTTGTCCTATACACAATATAGCTAGTTTAGTGACTTTTCTTTAATGTTTATCTGGAAATTTTGACATTGCTTAGATAAATAAATTATTTTTCTTCATTTAGTAGGTATATTAATAACTCTCATTCATTAAACATTTACCCTGTTAGGCTAATGATGCTTTTCATATATTATCTTACTCTTCATGGCAGCCACATCATACAGGTGTTATAATCCCCATCTCACAGATGTGGAAATTGAGGCTTAGAAATGTTAAGTAACTTGCCTAAGTTATCTATAAATGGTAAGTGGCAGAGTCAGAATTTGAGTCGATGTCTCTCCAACTCCAAAAATCCTACCATTAATGCTCTGCAACATGGCCTCCCTGTAATAGTTACTCTTATTGAAGTGTGGGTGATTTGATTTCATTATCTGAATCACAGATAATGACAAACTTTAAATATAAATTGTGCTTTATTTTTTTCTACAAATATTTATTAATATGTCATGCATTGGACTTGGAGTTAGACAGACAAATAAAGCACGAATTAAACACAACCATTACATTCTAGGAACTTTCCTGGTCTAGTGGGGATCACGTAAGCAGATGTATTATATTCTTACCAAAGCATATAGTAACTAAACATGCGTAACGCTCTGGGACTTAATTGCCTATCACTAATTTTTTACCCATATAGGATTTAACATAATTATTTTCATTCTGGTAAACTATGGATTATCTTATAGGGTATCAAATTAATTTAAACTCACTTTAATTTTGAAAATAAAATGTATGTCATATGAAGAAATGGTGTGAACAAATAATAATAGGATATTTAACTCTAAAACAATTGAATAAAGATCTGGGTCGACTTTGATGAAATCATTAGTGGCTAATGTGCTAATATCTTTACTCCCTTTCACTCTCTAGATACTGAACGAAGATAAAGACAAGTTTACTGGGGGTTTTCTAGTGTCAAAATCTGATTCTCTCAAGATTATTAAATATTTACAGGAAAACTGGACAGATATTGGGTATGGGATATTTAATCGCCATAGAAATATGGACGGGGTGATGCCACCAGAGTACCAGCTCATGGAGGAAATTGTAAAAAGCATAGAAAAACTCTACAAGGAATTTCAATTAAGAATAAGTGGGGATAATGGTAAGAAAAAAACAATGATAATTAGATTGCTTGACATAAAGGATTTTAACAGTAATTATTTTCAATACAATTAATATTTAAAAATAATATATGAATATAGCTTTAGAAATAAAGCAAAACAAACCATTGAGCATCAATATATTGTGATATAATTCGTATACAATACAATTAACCTGTTTAAAGTATACAATTTGATTATTTTTAGTGTATTAACGGATGTGTACAACCATCACGACAGTCAGTTTTAGATCATTGGATGATGTCTGGTTCTTCTATAGGTCTTTTTTTTTTTCATTTTTTCAATTATAGTTGACATATGGTATTATCTTAGTTTCAGATGTACTAGGTCTTTTTTAAAAATTATATTTAATTTTTCTTTATTTTGTTTTTTTCCCATCACCATTTATCCCCCCCATATACTCTAACATCTCCAGCCCCCCTCAACCCCAACAATCACCACACTGTTTTCTGTGTCCATAGTCCATAGTTTTTTTTAATCTTTCTTTTTTGCGTGGTTCTTTTTTATTGTCTGTAATTTGTCTTGATTTTGAGTCAGTTCTTTTCATATTTCTGGCTGTTTCTGATTGATGCTGCACATCATGTGTGATAAAGTCCAGAGATAATTAAGACTCTGGATGATGCTGTATTTCAAAAGAATGATTTTAGTTTTTATTCTGGCAGGTTACTTAGGGTAGGGGCAGATCATTTGAATTCACACAGGGCCTGAGCTGAGATGAAGTGTGGCTCCAGGCTTGTCAAGGACTAGTCTCTTCTGTTCCACCCTTACTTTAAGGTATAGCCCTTCAGGGACTCAGGGGGCCCAAGTGAAACCTGGTGTGTTTAGCAGGGCCCCTATTCCTTAGCAGATTTTCAACTTAAATTTTATTTCTCCAGTGGGGTAAACAAATATCCCAGTTTTCCATGAGAGATATTGAAAACTCACCGTCCAAAACCCATGAGAGACATTAAAAATCCATCAAGGCACTTTCATCACTGTGTCGTATGTTACTTAAGAACCAGTCCTTCTCATCAGGCAATCCTGATGCATTGACTACCATGCTTGTTCAACACCAAACTACTCTGGATGGGAAAATGCAACCTTAATTCTCTGTAGCGGCAGTGATACAGTTACAGATAAAATGGCAATACTTATCCATGAGAATATACATATAGCAGGCAGACAAAAGTGCGTTAGTGAATGGCTTACATAGTGAGGAGTCAAAACAGTGAGTGGTAGTGAAATTAACAGATCACTCGAATACTCCTAAGAGATCGAACTTTACTGATGAAAGGCAGCGAAAATATTTTCCTTAAGGGTAAGAAAAAGTTTGCTTTTAAATTATTTCTCTTTTTATATCTCTGAGATGGGAGCATTTTTATTTCTTATTTTGAAAATGAGATAAGACAAAGGTATAAAGAGGTTATTTTGCAATGATCTCACGGTGAATCATTCAAAGATTAGGATCCACATTTCATCCTGGTTCAGACTAAAACTATGAACTTTGTGAAAACCTGAACAGTGACTTAAAAAAGAACTCAAGGACCATATTCTCATTTCTCTTATTAACTATCCTATAATCATGAAGAACCTGTTTATCATCATTGTCTTCTTTTTTAAAAAATGTATCTTTATTGATCTCAGAGAGAGGAAGGGAGAGGGAGAGAGAGAGAGAAACATCAGTGATGAGAGAGTCATTGATCGGCTGCCTCCTGCACACCCCTGACCAGAGATCGAGCCCGCAACCCGGGCATGTGCCCTGACCTGGAATCAAACTGTGACCTCCTGGATCCCAGGTTGATGCTCAACCACTGAGCCACATCCGGCCAGGCCATGATTGTCTTCTTAACAGAAAAACTCAACAAATTAATGCCTTTTCCAGAAAACTTTAGTTCATCGTTTCTGGGTTTAATGTATTTGGTTCTCATCTGAGAAGACAAGAGACTTAGAGTATAAGCTGCCATCAAAGAAATAGTACATCAGTTAGAAAAGCACCAATTATACACTATTATTAATTCACTAAACATTTATCTAGGAACTACTCTTTACAAGCTTTTAGCTAAGCAAGCTGTAGGGTAATAAAAAGATGAAAAAATATATGCCCCTGCCCATAAGTATTTTATAATTTATTATTGAAATAGTAGACTTACAAATACTTCTAACAATTAATACTTTTCTCACTTTTCTAGGTGTCACTAAAATTCTTACAAGTTTGATTAGTTCTCTTGACTTCTATTCTTTCAAGTTAGAAAACCATCTGGAATTTCTTGAAGAATGGGAGGGACTTAATGAAAAAATTAATGAAATGACAACTCAGTTGGATACACTGTTAAACATTATTGGTACTGTTCCACAGTACTTAGAAACAGATTCTGGCTCGTAAGTTCCCATAGAGCACTCTTTGCTGGGCAGAAGAAGGGAATCCCTACTTCTCAACTGCATTTTCCCAGTACCTAGCCTCAGCAACAGGTAGCTGGGGTCAGATGAGAAACCTTAAAGCCCTGTTGCTCCCAGGAAGAAAGCCCATCTGACTGGGAGCAGGAAGGCAAGGGAGTGGTCCATTGAGCTGGGAAGGGGAAAAACAGGGGTAGCCTTGGTTTAGATACCATAGATTCTTGCCTTTTTTACTGAATCTTCATAGATTGTCTTGAATAGATGTTTCTTCAGTTGCTGTTTGTTCTTAGGACCATTTCTAGCTTTTGATTTTTTTTTTTTTAAGAAATAATTCTCACCAGTTTCACTGGGGAATGGGTCAGCTTTGTTCCTCACACTGTGATGCTGGAAGCTGATCTCTTGAGAGAATTTAAAAATTCATTCTTCTCATTTTATGGTCTCACTGGTCTAGAAATGAATATAAAGGGTGTGAGTTTTTACAGTAGAGAGCTAACCCTGAAGGTAAGATCTGCATTGTTCAAAGTGCATCGGGCTGGTTGCTGTTGGTATTAGGAAGCCATGCCCAAGAGTTAGCCAATTTACCAGATAATTCAAGGCTGTCATTCACCTTTCCCTGAAATCTCAAATAATTGTCAACACTAAGTTTACTAGGCCCATCCAAATAAAACCCTTTCTTTTAACTGATAGTTACTTTTTTATATTCTAAGTAAGCCACTTGTCTTTATTTTACTTAATTTTTCCTTCAGAGTACTTGAAGCACATATATTTAACATGATTCAACAATGGCATTTGAAGATAGGCAATGAGATTGCTGATGGTAACATTGAACTTCAGCGCCACGTATGTACTTACAGGGATTTGTGAGGTTAATTTTGCCTTGGCTGGGAGTTTTCTTTAAGGAAAAATGAGGTCATGCCTATGCAATTAAAGCAGGAGATTGGAAGGGCAACATGGGAACTTACGTAATTACTCAAATGATTTTCAATGGCTTTTTAAATGCAGTATGTTTCTATTTCTGAAATAAAGTTTCAGAGATGATCAAAATTTTTTGATTTCTAATTATGATATTTAATCTTTACTTGGTAGACTGAATATTTTCCCTTTAATAAGGATGTGGACATATTAAGGATTTATGTTGGTGCCCCTGACTGGCTAAAGGGATGACAGAAACATGCTGCTTGCTAGAAGGAATGACAAGATGCCACAGTATTAGAACAAATAGAATTGTTCTTCAGTTCTGAAGAACCAAACCCATGGACTTCTTAACCAGCACAACATGAAATAATTTCTGGAGGATGTCTTAGTTTATTACATTTACTCCCACCTTCTGGTCTTAATTATAATTTAAATTTACACAGAAAAACCCCCACCTTATTATAAGTAAACTTAATAGGATAAAATGAATTTAATTCTTTTTATTATTATTATTGATTTCAGAGAAAGGAAAGGAGAGGAAGAGGCAGCTAGAAACATCAGTGATGAGAGTCATTGATTGGCTCGACCCCTACTGGGGATCGATATTGAAACCAGGGCATGTGCTCTGACTGGGAATTGAACCATGACCTCCTGGTTCATAGGTAGATGCTCAACCACTGAGCCACACTGGTCGGGCTAATTTAATTCATTTTAATATTGCTTAAATTAGGAATTTGAAAGGCAGAGTTCATCAGCTATATGGGAACACTACTTATGAAGCATTACATTACAGTATATCACAGTCTGTGAGCACGTTATAAATATATAGAAGCAAGAGTTGAGGGGCAAATATATTAAGACTGGAAGTACGGATCCAGGGTTGGAAGAAATTTCTGCGATTTGAAAGACAATCTAAATTAATTTTTAAAAAGGGAGCAGAGTGCCTGTCATACAGTGGGACTCAATAAATATTTGTTCACTGAAGTAAGGTTGAACATTCCAGATGTGCAAACAATTATAATAGAGAAATGTGCTAAGTACTAAAGAAACAGAAAAAGGAGCAGATTAAAGCCAGTGGAAGTTAAAAAAGTCTTCTCAGAGTATATCATATTTAGGCCTAGAAGGATACGTAGGAACTCACCAGAGAAAGGGACTGGGCATTTGAAGAGAACAGTGTGTTTGATGTTTGCATTTTATTTCTGGCACCCAGCCTCAGCAAACGCCCCAATGCAGAGGTTCCCCAGCTTTCACCTTTCACAGTGCCCTTAGTGCCCTACTATTTTCATACTCCTCCGCCAAAAGAAATACCACAAGTTCAGTTTATTAAGTAGGTAAGTTCAAACAACTTACTAAGTATTTACGTCCTAACAGTAACTGTTTGGAAAAGTAGAAAATGCTAAAATAGCTAAAACAAGGAGGCCATTGGACTAAAGTAGCTCCACTGCCTTTGGTAGCCTATGTAAACAAACCAAAGCCAGAGTCAGTGCACTCACATCTAAGAAAACAAATCTCAAGAATAGCTCATCGTAACCAGTCAACTAGATTTTCTTGAATATGAAAAAATGAAGCTCAAGAACAATGATCATAATAGCCAAATAACTAAATTTTCCCAAATAAGGCAAACATTTAAATAATTACAGGCAATTAAATAATTGCTTTGTTTCAGCATCTTCTCTATAAACATCTCTGCCCTACCCCCTGCCCACAGAGAGCCCCTAACCATTTTCCAGTTTTGGTTTTGCCCAATTGGAATTGTTGTTTGCTGGAATAAAGTAAAATTTAATGCCTCAGTTTACCTTTTTACACATACAAACATTGGGAGAAAACCTTTTATTCTTAATGAAAATTACTAAGGGATGTATGTACCTGGGTACTGTATAACTTCCCTAACCTTGAAATCAGATTGAATGTTGCCACCCGCATTTCCCGTTTCACTTAGATTGTCTCACAGTACTTGCTTTTACCACATAACCACCAATAAAACCAGCTTTGCAAAGATATGATGTTATCAAAGTGATATAGTGTATGTAATGTTGAAAGTGTGAACTATGTCAGGTTCATGCTATGTCTGACAGGTGTCCCATATCACTGTTATTTCCCTCAAGAATTTAAAACCCCATGGCATCCTTGAGAGTTCGCTGTGGAGCCCTGGGATGCCTTGGCGCACAGTTTGGTAACTGCAGCTTTAATACCCTGCGCCAAGCTAAAGAAGAGTTTAATGTAGCACAGTTAGCAAAAAAATATAAGGTTATACCAGTTGAGTAGTGATGATTCATTTCATTAAGAACGATAGTGTTGTTGAAAATTGGACACAGGTATGATCATTTATATTTTTAAATTTGGCATGGTTTTTACTGTTTGATTTATTTAAAATGGGTCATTTGTATTATAACTGTTTTTTAACAGATGGATGAATTGCATATATCTATGGTCAAGTGGATGGTAAATTTGCTGACATTAATGGTACCTGACTTTACTGATCAAGACACTCTGCCAAAGTTAGAGAAGGAAAGTGCTGAAAAACATGATATAGGCATTGCAAAGTTAGAGATAGATGCAATTGCACTGGCCAAAAATTTGTCCCGATACTCCAGTTATTTGAACAGGTAAAACTGTCTGGCTTTTTTTCCCCCTGCCCCTTTGAAGATTAAATGTGACATAGAGCAGAGGAGAGAAAGGCAGTTAAGTAGCAGCAATAAGGAATTGTTCTAAAAACCTTGAAAGAAGCACTAGTTCAGTTTTTAAACTAGCTTCAAAGCTGCCCAGTCAGAATATGAGATTTTGGTGTTTTCCCAATGGCTCTAGAATTCTTTTGAAAACAGTGTTAGCATGGGAAGGATGGGGAGTATGAACAGATGTGGGAGTGACAATTAGTAACAAAACAAAAAGACCCACTTGTGTAAGTAAGAAACATCTTGCACTTTTGCAAAAGCTGGGGGCATTTATGAAGAAGCTTGTAGTTTCCTGTGTAATTCCATGCAAAGCTGAATGTATACTTTTATATATTTCAATAAACACCAACCAAAACATCTCTTTAAAAAAACAAAAATAAATTTAAAAAACTTTATGTCTGGAAAGCTAGAGGATTCCCACCAAATAAAGACGAAGTCTGAAAAATTGTAAAATGTTAACTAGTAAGCATACTGTTGCTATGATTACTTGAATATTATGCTGAACAAAATAAGCAAGTCAGAGAAAGACAAATATCACAGGGTCTCACTTATATGTGGAATCTAAAGAACAAAATAAATTGACAACCAAGATAGGACCACAGACATGGAAACATGAAACAAATTGACAGATCTCAGAGGAGAGGCAGGAAGGAGGGTGGGGAAGAGATAAACGGAAGAATTTATAAGCATATAGGAGTAGCCCAAGACACCAGCAATAGACAGGTGAAGCCTGGGGTGGGCTGAGAGGTGGGTGGAGAGGGGCAAAGGGAGGGAAATGGGGGGCATCTGTAATACTCTCAATAATAAAGTAGATTTTTTTTTAAATTTGGGGAGCTTTTATAATCTAGCCAATTGCATCTTTTATTTCCACTCAGTGTTACCAATTGTCAAGAGTGAGAGGAATGGGGGGCAGTGGAGAGGACAAGGGTAAGAAACTGAGAAAGACAAATTATACTCTTTGGTGAATCAGTAGCTTAATTGTTAATGGTGAACTTCCACTGTATTTGGATTTAAAACACGTAGGAGAGGAACCAACAATAATAGGTCATGCTGTGTGTGTGTGTGCTTTTTCCCCCAGTTGTTGCAAAGGGATGGTAGCAGCTATGGCTCTGAGTATAGCCAGCAAATTACAAAAAAGTGCTGCTAAGGATCTTCATGATCTGGCTAAGATGAAGGTAATAACTCTGTCTTCCCCTTGCTTTTGTTTTGTTTGTTTTGAGCAGACATTTTAGGTTTAATTTATAACAAATTACACATATTAAAAGTGTACAATTTGATAATTTCTAAAATGTGCATACAGCCATAAAATAATTACTATGATAAGAAAAGAAGTGTTTCCTTGTACACCTTTGTAATCTCTCCACCCACCCTCAGCCCAGGCAAAGTCTGATCCACTTTCTAATGCCAAAGATTATTTTTCATATTCTAGAATTTATATAAATGGAATCATATAAAATGTATGCTTTTTGTCTGACTTCTTTGACTAAGCAAACTTATTTTGGGGTTCACACATATTGTTACTTTTATCATAAAGCATATTTTATGCTTTTTAGTGCTGAGTAGTATTAATTGCATGGATATACACAATTTACCTATTCTCTGTGGACGGCATCTGATTTGTTCCCACTTTTCAATTATAATAAATAAAGCTTCAATGCATATTTATGTACATGTGCATTGTTTTCATTTCTCTTAAGTAAATATCTAGGAATAGAGTGGCTGAGTCATATGGTATGTGTATGTTTAACTTTTTAAGAAACTGTTAAACTGTCTTCCAAAGTGGTTAAGCTATTTTACAGTCCTGCCAGTAGTGTATGAGAGTTCCAGGTGCTTCACATCCCCACCAGCACTTGATAGATAACCATCAGTCTTTTCAATTTTAGACATTCTAATAGGTGGGTAATGGTATGTATGCCGTTGTGGTTTTAATTTGCATTTCCTTAATGACCAGTGATGTCGAACATCTTTTCATGTGCTTATTTGTCATCTGTATATCTCCTTTGGTGAAATGTATATTTGAATGTTACTAAGAGAATAGATCTTAAAAGTTTTCATCACAAGAAAAAAATGGAACTACATGAGGTGATGGATAGTAACTAAATTTAATGTGGTAATCATTTTGCAATATATATATATATTTATCAGATCATTATGTCATATACCTTAAACTTATACAGTGTTATATGTTGCTTATTCAATAAAACTAGAAAAAAAACACAAAAATTCAATTGCCTCCTAATTTGGTTAGTTAATAGGTGAGACATCTAAATAATAACTTACAATTGTCTCCCACATGTGCCCCAACTGGGGCCAGGGATCAAACCCCGCAACCCAGGTTCATGCCTTTGACCAGGAATTGAACCCAGGACCCTTCAGTTTGTGGGCCAACGATCTAACCACTGAGCAACACCGGCCAGAGTATGAGCACCTTTTTTTAAAACAGTGCTTCAAATCTGTATTCATTTACTTTATTAGGGGCAGGGTAATATTTCTGTAGTGGTTAAGGCCACCTGGATTAGAATCCTAGTGCCATGTTTATATATATGACCTTGAGCAAACTATTCAACTGCTGTATCCCTTAATTTCCTCATCTAATAAAATGAGGATAGTAATAGAATATATCTCAGTTCTCATCACAAGGGAATAAATTTTATACCTATGGTGAGAAATGTTAACTGGATTTATTGTGATGAGCATTTGGTAATATATATAAACACTGATTAATTATGTCGTGGTAATATATATAAACACTGATTAATTATGTCGTACACCTGAAACTAGTATAATGTTATTTCAATTATACCTTAAAAATAATAGTACATATCTCATATTGAGAATCAAATGAGTTAATATATGCACATTGCTTAGTACAGAGTCTGGCATATAATTAAGTGCCACGTTAAGTGTTTGCTGTTTTTACTGTTAATGTCAAACAGCCACAGCTGATCTGGTCAGTTGCATAGTATCTGTTGGGACAGACCGTTTGCCCGCAGTAAATTCAACGCTTCTGCGTCTGATTCGGACGCTTCACTCCTCCGTGTCCCGCTATAATGATGTCCATATGCAAACGACAGGATTTTAGTTCTGTATTCATAGAAAGTCACTTCTGCGCAAATCTGTGAACTGAAGCGATACGAGGCTGGTTGAATGGAGTATATTTCGGGGACCTGTATTTAGCAGCTCCTCGATGGGAGTGGGTGAACAAATGAGCTGGTGTACTCTGATTGTTCCTGCTTATAACGATCTTCCTTCTCTCTCCTCAGAGGGAATGTTATGAGTGGATCACCACATGCTCTCACCTCCTTTCTGGGATCAAAGGCAAAAAAGTCAAGTTATTGACAGATGAAGAAAAGGAGCAGCTGCTTGAAGAAGAGGTGTTTGTCATGTGCTAGCAGGAGTCATTATTCAGGTTCTCCCTGTGTTTTAATAGATGAGGGGTCAGTGACTTTTCACAATCAATGTTCTGAACCCTCAGAAGAGAATTTCGGCTCCAGCCAAGAGCACTGGCAGCTCTTCTCCCTTCCCAGGGAAGGGGTCGTCCCCCCAAACGTGCCTCCTCCACTTCTCGGTGATGACTCGGCCTCCCGCTTCGTAAAGGAAGGGCGGCTCTCAGAGGCTGTGCTGCCACTCCCCGAGCAGGGCTCGGCCTCGCCTGCCTCCGAGCCCCCTTCCTCCTCCCCGCAGCCTTGGGCTTCCCATCAGCCTTGTTTCATCCCACGCTCGCTGTCCTCTCCCTTTTGTATCTCACTGCCTTCAGGATAAAATTCACTCTTCACCTGGCATGACACACTGCCTGCCGGCCCCTAAGTTTCTGTCCTGTTGAGCTGCAGCCCTTCTGTCCTCAGAGCCAGTTATGCGCGTACAGTATCCTCTCCTTGTGCCCTGTTTTTTTCTCTTCTTCAGGAAGCCTTCCCGACCAGCCCTGTCTTTTCCCCGCATCCACCACCAGATCAAGGTTAGGCGCTTCTAGTACCTGACTGTATGTATCCACAGCACTTCTAGCCTTTCCCTGTCTGCTAAACTGTAGGCTTCTGAGGCGCAGAGACCGTTCCTGCCGACGTTTGAATCCGTGTTCCTAGCACGGGGCTTAGTCACAGGATTAGTGCCCTTTAAATATCCTTTAGTGAGTAATTGCTAATATAGCACTAAAGTAAGCATATGCGCTAAGCTGTAATTACAATATTGTTTTATGCCACAGGACATTATCAAAGAATTCATGGAGTCTAAACTAGACATGCCTTTTAATGAGGATGAAGAAGAAAGTACACAAGAGAAGAAGCTTGAGAAGGAGCAAGAAAAGGGAGCGGAAGTAAGACTACTTAGTACTGTTTTTTAAGGAATTTCTATATGGACGGTTGAAAATAAAAGCAGATGACCTGGAGTAAACTCTTCAACTTAACGAAATGCCTTTCCTCATATAGACGTAGCCATATCTGATGACACACTTACCTCTTGATGCTGTCCCGTTAGCCCCTCATTGCCAAGTTCTTTAAATAGTAGTGTAAGCGCTGTTTCCACTTCCTCAGCTCCCATCTGAACTGCCCTCCCCACCTCCTGGGCCCATCTCCACATCTCTCCTTTCCTTACCCTTCTCTACCCCTGTTGGCCCATTAGCAGTAATAACCTTTCTTGGGGCACTTGTAATAATAACAGAAATACAGCGATAATTACCAATAACTGAGTGCCTGCCATGAGCTATGTGCTTCACACATGTTATCTCTTATCCACACTATAAGTAGCACAACCAACATTCAAACCCAGGTAAGTCTGGCAAGAGAGCCCTTGTTGATTCCTAGAATGAATACTGTCCTTGGCTTTCAGAACTCATTATGATCACCTAACACTCTTTATACTGTCTTAATTTACCTCCCTGATGTTTCTTCACTGCGAATAGTTTAAATGTTGGCATGACCCCAGGCTCTGGCCGGGGTCCTCTCCTCAGTGTACATGCAGGAGAGCAGAACAGAGAGCTGTACAACACCCAAGCCTCTTTGGACCAGCGTTTTCTGTTTTATTTATGGTACAGTGCTTGCATATAGAAGGCACAAAATAAATGGAAAACATTATTATTTGGTCGCTAAATTCTGTCATACCTCTTCAATCTATAAAGCATTACCATCTTTCCTCCTCCTGTGGCCTTAGATCAGGCCACTTCCTCTCTATTTTACAAACTCCTACTCGGCCTTCAAAGATCATTTTCTCTGTAGAAACTTCCCTGAGTGTCTAGGCAGAATGGAGGACCCTTTTCTGGGTACACACAGCTCTTGGAACATGCCTCTATGCTAGCAGTAATCACTTATAATTTTTTTTTATTGCCTGTCTCTCTTACTGTACTGTAAGTTCCTGAGGTCTAGAAGGAATCTGTTTTGTTTTCTCACAGTTGCCTCCCCTTCCCCACCGACACTAAATTATCACACAGTGTTTGCTGTAAGTATGAAAAAATGGTGGTTCAATGATTAAAGCAAATGGAAAACAAAAGCTTCAGGCGACTTGCCCTGCGACTGTGTCTCACAGCAGCTCACTAACAGCTCTGTGGCGTTTCTGTGTCCTAGAGACCTTCAACATCTACAGAGGATGAAAAACTCATTCGATTTGTTGGAGAAGACGAAAATGTCTATTCCGTGCCTGTGCGTAGAACAGATACATTATCTTTCTGGGTATGTATCTGAGATAAAGCCCAACTAGAGAATTCAAAAGTAGAGAGAAAAGCTGGGAAATTCAACATTATGTAAAAATGGTACAGATCTAACGTAATTTTTATCTCTTCCAAGAGGAGCAGGGACTTCTAAGTAATAATATTTTCCAGATTTTTTTTTCTCCCAGCATCATTCATGGAAAACTCTGACTTCAGCAATATAACAACAAACACTCCTTATTGTCTTCTGTAAACCTTATTTTAAAAATAAGCATCTCATCCATTTCCTTAATTTAACAATACCTTGGTCAATTGACCAATTTTTAAATATATTCATTCAGCAGATTCTATTGAGAACTGTGATAAGAACATACCTCCAACCACAAGGATTACTGAGAAATTGGAAACCTTTAGAGAGTGGCTTTAGAAACTGAGCAGAAAAACAGATTTAAAATTCCTCCACAGAAAGTTCAAGGGCCATGGTAGAGCTGTTTTTGTACCACATATTTTTACTGCCGTAGTATTTATGAAGTCCCCTATCAAACTAAAAGATCTTACTGGGCTTCGCAATGTTATGTGCTTAGTGAAGTAAATTAAGGTAAATATAATTTCCTTGATATTTAACTTGATTTATTAGAGAAACACGTTTACCCTTCTATTTATTTTTTAAGCCTTTTCTTCCTTCCCTGGCTCTTTCTGTTGATGTGGTTTTCCTTGCTGCTTCTTTACAACTCTAATCAAATCTATGTTCAGCTGCAGCATGAATAATTTGCAATCTGTTGTGCTATTTGGCCACAGGAAATCCCTATTCTTTTTTTGTTAAGAGTGGGCTTAATTGTCTACTATATAGATACGGATTGTAGAAAAAATATTCTGAAGAAGTAGGGTATTAACTGTTGGGACTTAACAGTTTATTCATTGTGCATATTTCCTTTGTCAGAGAGAATCAGCTAATCAAGGTACATTGGCCCCAAAGTATCTTGAAGTGATAACTATAATTGAACACATGGAGGGGAAGTTAATGTAAGTATGAGGCTCCACAATGGTAAGAACAGGAAGAGGCTGGCCAGAGGTTTGGCTGAGGAATCCATACTTCTTTGCTGACCTCTGGTCGTCCTGCTTCTTTCATCCTTACTAGTGGGATGGGTGTCTCCAAATCTTCCTCTAGAGTCAGTAAACTACACGCTGTAGTGGGAACATCTGTCCTCACCCATGTAGAGGTGGAGGAAGTCAGTGTATGTGTGTATGTGGGGGAGGGGGGTAAGAAGTGATCCAATTCAGTGTGCTTCTAAGACAGGAGCTAGAGAAATAACCCCCAAAGTGGGAGGAGCAGCATAGTTAAGCTGGCTGAGAATGCCAGGACAGGGGCCTCGCCATAGCAGCATGTGCTGTAGTAACTAAGAAGCACATCTCAAACGGGTTTTCTTTATTGTAAAATCTGTTTTTAAAGATGCTGGAAAAGAAGGGAATGAAAAAAAAAAAAAAGACTTTCTGGGCACTTATGCTCAGGATTTTTTTTTAAAGAAGGGATACTATTGGATTTAGTTTGTTGGATCACATCAATGAAGAGAGGCCGAAATTAACTTATGCAAAGTGATTCCTTGGCTATTGATAGAGAATCCCAGATACCCAAATGTCAGATTTCACTAAGAAATGATAAATATGTTTATTCTTAAATCACAGCTTGACTGCAACTCTGATATTACCATCCAGAGTAGCTCCCAGGCCCCCATTCTTTTTTTCTTTTTCTTTTTTTAATATATCTTTATTGATCTCAGAGAGGGGAAAGGAGAGGGAGAGAGAGAGACAGAAACATCAACGATGAGAGAGTCATTGATCAGCTGCAGCCCGCAACCCGGGCATGTGCCCTGATCGCCTGGATCCTAGGTCAACGCTCAGCCACTGAGCCACGCCCAGCCAGGCAGGCCCCCATTCTTGCCTAATCATTGATGCTGCTGCTTCCCTTATTTGCCCCCTTTCATTAGATGCGTCCATCTCATCCCACTGCCTTTTTTTTCCCCTTTTGAATCCTCACCCAAGGATATTTTTTCCATTGATTTTTAGAGAGTGAAAGGGAGGGGGAGAGAGAGAGAGAGAGAAACATAGATGTGAGAGAGTCATCAATTGGCTGCCTCCCACATGAGCCCCGACTGGGGCCAGGGTTCCAACCTGCAACCAGTCACACGCCCTGGCCTGGGAGTGCAGCTGGTGGCCCTGGGAGTGCAGCTGGTGGCCCTGGGAGTCCAGCTGGTGGCGCTTCAGTACACAGGCTGACGCTCTAACCGCTGAGCCCATCCGCCTGGGCCCCACTGCCTTTTCCAGACGATGCGTTTTTACGCCTGAAGGATACCTTCTCAAAGCTCTCCATTTTGTTGTGTTTCCCTGGATGCTGTCCACATCAGAGAGCTTGAAAACCGAGCCAGACAAGCGGAGGATAAGTTTGATGATGTCAACGAGGAACTGCACTTCACGCTGATGAGAAATAAAGAGCTGGAGAAGCAGCTGGAGGAGGCGGTGGCCAGGCGCGAGGAGAAGGAGCCCGAGGCGGCGGGAGAAGAAACCCCAGGAGGACGCGCGGAGGAGGGCCAGGGAGGAGAGGAGGAGGCGGAGGAGGAGGAGGAGGAGGAGGAGCCCATCTCGGCCGAAAACGCCTCGAAGCCCTCGAGGAAAGGTGAGGCTGCCCTGCGCCTCTGAAGAGGCACCTGGCTGCGCCCCGGGCCTCGGAAGAGCCCCGTGGGCCTCAGCTCCTGCTGCCCACGGCACTGCGCCTGCGTTTAACTCTCCTCTTCACACCTCTCTCAAAAAAGAAAGCCAAATGGCTAACGACTGCAGACTGGTAAACTAACCTGAGACACGACTTTGACTTATAAAACTGGCAAAGATTGTTTCAAACAAAAGAATACAATGCTGGCCAGAAGGGGCCGAGTAGGTAGTTTTACAGAAAACTTGTGGGTAGACCGACGAAAATAACTTGCAAGTATGTGTGGCTATGCCTTAAAGCAGGCATATACTTGACCTACTAGTTTCACCTTTGAGAATCTAAGGAAATAATCCTAAATACAGAAAAAAATTAATGCACAAAGATGTTCAGTGTATCGTTATATGTAATGGGAAAAAATCAGAAACGATCTCTCTCTCTCCAATCATGGAAGAAAGATTAAATGTTATGCTATCTTAATATACCCAAGTATTATACAACTATTAAAATGGTGTTTATGAGGAGTTTATAATGACATGAGAAATCTTTATGATAACATGTCATATACAAGAAATAAAATCTGATACTATTTTTTTTAATGGGATGCTTCACGGATTTGCATGTCATCCTTGCCCAGGGGCCGTGCTAACCTTCTCTGTATCATTCCAATTTTAGCATACATGCTGCCAAGGTGAGCACTGATACTGTTTTTTAAAGCTAAAAAAAAAAGACCAGGAGTAAATATGCCCAGATATTGACAGACATTGTCTCTGGTTGATGGAATTTTATGGGAGATTTTGTCTTTATTTTTTTGTACTTGTTGGATTTTCTGTGATGAAAACAATCTCCTTTATTCTATAGGAAAAGGCATTTAGTTCTTTATTTTCTTATCTCTAACAAATATTCCCTCAAGCAGTTCTCAGTATCCCCAGTATTGGAGGCTGTTTTTTCATCTTCAACCTGTGGTCTGTTCCCAGGACAACCCCCGGTACAAGGGGTAGTCCCCAGAAGATACCTACTTTCTATCTTTTGCTCTCACCCCAATCTCCACCTACACCCCCAGCAACAGCAGTAAGGTAGCCGGTCCCTCAGTCTTCAGCCCCACGTATTGTGAATCAGCACTGTTTGGAGGAAGAGTCCAGGCCCATTTTCTCTTCTGTTAACTCTGAACTGGTAAAATGTTATTATTCCTAATGTGACAGTCCTTTAGCTTTAGTTTTAAATATATGTGAGATAATTTTCATGAATTAAAAAAAAATGTCATCTCATATTGTGGTGCAGCTCTGTCCTGATGATTTGAAAATTGAACATTTTCTTGATTACAGAAAAATAAATGTGCACACCATGCAAAAGGCCTATGTGTTGAACTGGAGAGGTCACCTCAATATGGAATGAGTGACTTTAGTTTGGTCCATTTCTATAAAGGCCTTGGGGATTAGGTTAAATCCAGAATTGAAAAGTTTTAGTAATTATTGATAGAGGATAACTATGTATGGTTAGTCCCCAATCTGCAAACAATAACCTGCACAAACACATAGCACCCATTTCCCGCCTCCTAGACACCTATCAGAGTCATTGCCAGGGGGCTCAGAAGTGTAGGATGGGAAGCCCTGAAAAGTTTAGGGGAATTGGCTAACACAGGGTCTGTGTTCAGGAGGCTGGAGAACGGGACCAGGAGGCAGAGCAGGGGTGCAGGGATGGATCTGGCAGGATTCTGGATGCTGGCTCCATTTGAATTTTCCCCCCACCAAGTTTGGGGTATGTACAAGATAGAAGGAGGAAGTGTTCTTCCTCTTTCTCTTCTCTCCTAGACCACATGGTCCCCTTTTCCAGGACCCAGAATTCAGGCTAATTGGCTATACTTAAACTTTAGAAAAATGCATTCTGAATCCCAGTAACAAATTTAGAGTCACATTTTGGGCACAGAACCTGTTGGTATCATAGCAGTTACTCAGGCAGAATGGAATTTAAAAAATGCTTCGTAAAGTAAATAGTCTTTAGTATAAAGTGTTACTACGACATTCTAATTCTTTTTTTGTCTTTCAGAGGCACAGCGCAAGGGGAGTTCTTTCAGCAACAAATCCAGACCCCGGACTAAATCCAATAGTAAGATCAAACCCAAGCAGCATCCATAGGGTGCTGGGCGTCACCCTGGCTCCCTACCTGAACACACCCCAGGCATCTATGAGCTGACAACATGGCTCAAACGGAGGGCTCGCTCTGCAACAGCTATTAGGAAAGCTATGACATACAACCTAAGAACATTTCCTTTAAAAGTCACAGCGATGGCAGTAGGGAATTGGTATATTAGCTTAGTTTCCATATTAAAAATAGCTTGTGCAAAAGTTGTTTTTTTTGGTTTTGTTATTTATTTNCTCTCCCTCCACCCTCTCTCCCCCCTCCCTCTCACATTTCGTCAGTCTCAACTATGCTTACATGTCATTGAATCTATTCTGCTCGTCAGTTTATTAAGTTCTTTAGATTCCACGTATAAGCGAGATCATGTGATATTTTTCTTTCGCTGCCTGGCTTATTTCACTTAGCATAATATTCTCCGGGACCATCCATACTGTCCCAAAGGGTACAAGATTCTTCTTCTTTACAGCTGTGTAGTATAGTTTGCTAGCCTCTTCAATTGATTTTCTACCAGAGGCCTGTGGAAAGTGTCTGTTTCTGTCAAGAAAATAATACTTTTTGAAGGCTTTGCACTCTGCCGAGTATTAGGGGGATTTGCCTAGGAAGGGGCGTACAAGGCTTGTTGAGAGTTAAAAACAGATTTATTGAAAAACCACCTGGGTGCAGGTGGAGTGAGGCTCAATGGGCAGTCACTACCCCCCGAGGAGGTAGAGACTGTTTTTTATAGGGCTTAATTGGATGGGAGGGAGGGGGACTGGAGAGGGAGAGGGGAGTGGACAGTTGGATAAAGAATCAATCTTGTTTGTTCTTCCTGTGTTCTTTCTGTCATTCCTGGAGTCAGGTACAGGTGTTCTCACCAGTTGGTTGTGCTTTGGCAAGGGCTTGTGGTCACTTTGTGGTTTGTAGGTTGCTTATGTGACTGCTTGTACCAAGATGGGAGTTTTGGACTCGGGTTTCCAGGGACTCGGGTTGCTAGGGACCTTATATCAAGAAGAATGACAAATAAAAAACATCATTTTTTCAATTTAAAAGAGAGAATCCTGATATTACTCTTAGATTTGTGCAGCATTTTCGAATTTCTTATGGCTTCAGGCATTCTTATGATTTATCTGATCTTTACAATAACCCTACAAAGTAGGTGGGGGACATACTGTTATCCTCATTTCTCAGAAGATGAAACTGAGGCCCAAAATGGCTATAAGCCTCCCCCAACGTCACTGAGCTGATTGGTGTCAGAGCCAACTTGCTGGACACGTGACTAGATTGTTTGACAATGGCCATGGGCCATCAATGCTCAAATGGCTTCCTTCACAGGGGCCAGTATTGCTGAAGATTCACCCAGAATCATCATTTTTTGCTTTTATTGCCTCATTTATGTATACTGTTGGTGACCTTGGATCCTTCTAGGCACTAGAGTTGGACTACCTGCAAAAATAAGTTGCAAGTGACAAATGCATGTTCTGGGCAGTCACTTAACAAGAGTCCTTCCTACCTCTCTGCTCCTGGGTCACTTGGATTTGCTCTTGTCTCTATGGTGAGACACTATGGGGAGATTTCTGCACCTGCTTTGGCTCCACATACTTGGTGTTCCTTTAGATTTTTCTCCTGAAATTTTTGACCTTTGCCTGTTCCTTAAGCCTGAGACACCCCCACTCCCAATTCCAGAGCCCCCATCTTTATTTAAGCCAAACTTCTGACCAGGCCTGGCTCTGGCCATCATCAAAGTATGTGTGGTGTGGGTTTCAAAAATGCTGAGCGTACTGGACCATTCTTTAGCTCTGGGAGAAGAAAACATAAAATATTTCAGACAGTTGGCTGTGTTCACAGTCAAATGAAAGCCAAAGCGGAGGCTCACAGGTACTGTTACCACCTGCTGGGCACACCCAGCCATACCCTTTTGCTTTCCCAAACAGATCTTGGATGATTCTAGTAAATTAAGGGACTTTTAGGTGGGATTTAAGAATACTTTTTAACTAGTTTTTCAGAATACTTTTTTGTTAACTTCAGGGACCTTAGGAATTATTGACGGTCCATAAAAGCCATTGTTACATGATCACGCTGGCATTCATTTCTCACTGTTCTGTTCCTGGCTCTGGTTATACCTGAACCAACATGACCCCTCCTCCTTTTTCAGTAGTCATTCCAGTATCTGTCAACCTGAGATCAAGAACTGTCTATATGGGGGAAAAGTGACCAAGAACCCTTGATGCCGTCTTAACTTCAAGCAACAGTACCCTGGGATCGGTACAGGCCAATACAGTGGTCATGAAAATTTCTCCCTGCTTCAGGAATGCTCTAATTGCCATTGGCCCTTCAAATGGGCTGGGCCATCTATGACTGTGCCCTGGCTGGTCCACAGAAGCAAACTGCAAACCCTAATAGATTAGACATTCTAGGAAATCACCCAGGAGTTCTCCCCCTCCCCAATCTATCTGCATCCTTAGTGCTTGCTTTCCTCTCTCTGGCACCACACTCCTGGCTCGGGCAGATTTTATTAACTGCCTTTGGCTTACTTGGATTTGATTACATACTTTGTATTTTGACACTTGAACATGGTTTAGAGCTTTGCTTGCTCCTCTGGCTTCAGAATTTCCCATTGCCTCACAGACTCTTCGATCCATGGCTTTCACCACTGCCAGTCCCCCACAACCAAGTCCGATCCTTGGGAGCAGGATCTGGGAAAACTTTCCCAACATATGGAAACATTTTTTCTGAATTTGGCATGGTTATATGAATATATAGGTTTTGAAATCATCTGATAGGCCTGCATTATCTTGGGAAGAATCATTGCATGGCTCAAGTCAAAGGCATAGCAAGGTTGGGCTGGAATGTGTTATCCCAGCTGTGGATGGAGGTGAGGAGGTGGCCTAGAGACATATGACAAATGGCCCTGAGGTTGGCATCATGATGTACTGCCATATTAGACTGCTAAGTAGTTTTTTAGAGGGCAGGGGGGATGGCAGAGGGAAAGGGGAAAGAGTATTGAAGTGATTGAGAGATAACAGGATAGGCAAAGCACCGTTGGTTTTAGGCCTTGTTTCTGTTATTTAAACATAGAAAACAGCCAGTCTTCAACAGACAAAATGCTTTAAAAATTTCTAGGTCCACTGTTAGGAGCTCAGAATACATTTCTCTCTGAAATAATGTTCAGCAGGGTTTAATGGGATAACATTCATAAGCAAAACTCCTTTATGGGTGTTTCTACGCAGAATATTTAAAATTACCATGGGGGAGAGCAGGAAGACATCTCCAATAACATCAGATAACATGAAGAGTAAAGAGGTACTTTGAAGGAGAGAAATCACCAACTAGTGAGCACTGGGGGTCCTACCACCATTTCTTTCTGTTATAGCGACATGCAAATTCCCATTTTACTAACAATGCCTTTTAGTCACATTTTTTAATGTTAGTAATATTTTATAATGTTACTGATTTTTAAAAAATGTTTTTGTTGATTTCAGAGGGGGGGGGATAGAAACATCAATGAGAGTCATCAATCGGCTGCCTCCTGCACGTCCCCTACTGGGGATCGAGCCTGCAGCCTGGGCATGTGCCCTGACCAGGAATGGAACCGGGGACCTTAAGATGCATGAGACGATGCCCAGCCAATTAAGCCACACAGGCCAGGGCAATGTTACTGATTTTTTAAAAAAGTTTATAAAAAAATTCATGATATATAAATATATATTTATTCTTATTTACTTGGCTAATTTTTTTCTGTAGATATATATTTCTAATTGTATAAGGCAAGTTAATGGAAATTAACACCAATTATATTATAGAAATATGTTCACAATAAGGAATATCTAGACAAGAAAAGAATACTTCAGGGTATGTATAGATCATATAATGTTATTACTGTTTGAGAAATAAGCAAGCTGGTCAATTCTACACTGAAAATACATTGGCTCCATATTTATATTGATGCTTCCTCAGATTTTAAGCAACATGTATCAGATAAATGTTTTTGTCCTTTTATTTCTCTATTTAAAAAAGGAGTGTCCATAAAAAGAATTCCTTTTAAATTCTTTATGTATATTCAGACCAAGTAAATCTCTTTTACTTTCATTCACTCGGGGACATTTAAGTGTCACTGTGGTGCAGGTATCGGGGTTAGGAGTAAGGACTATGGGGGGTGGAGTGTGCAAGGCTGAGTGTGGCCAGGGGAAAATGACTCAGATGCACCTTTGAGGAGTTCATAGTGTAGCTGGAGAGAAGCCTGCATCTCAGGTACAGGACTCTACAATACAGTGGGGTAAGCACAATGACAGGGGCATGTAGAAAGGGCCCTGGAGCAGCAAAGACCTCGCCAAAGGGGCCGGAGGGCCTACAGCTAAAAGGACATTTGAACCACATCTTCTAAGTTTAGCCATATATTGACTCGAAATTCTTTCCAAAGTAGAATGTTGGCTAAAGCTCTTTCGCGTAATTACTCCGACTGGATGATGGCTTCTCCGTCATTACACGATTCACTGTCTTCTCATGTAGGTCGCTGCATTGTAACTTCACACATTTCAAGGGCATTCTCCCTGGCAACCAAAGGAAGGGCGGGACATGAGCACTCCCCTACATGGTCATACTACCCTTCGCTCCTCCTATAACATGGGAGAGTCTTTCTTTTTAGGATTCAGTGGTTCAACGAGTTTGGAAGGATTTGGGAAGGGGATGCTCCCTTGAGACCTATTGCTGGGAGAAGACAGGAAATTTATCATGTCGAATGGCAAAGGTATAACCACGGTGGAAGGTTTCTCTGTGGACAGGGACTGAAGAGCGTGGAGGTACCGAAGCTGGACAGCAGCTGGAGTGCCCGAGAGAATCTCAGCTGCCACCCTCAGGGACTCGGAGGCGGCCTTCTCCCCTTCCGCAGCGATCATCTAGAGGACGGGTGTGAAGAAAAGCAGAGTGATTTTTCTTCTTTGTTCCTTGAAAGTGTCAATCACTATTCAGCCCGAGTACATCTCTGAGCACCTGTTATGTGGCAGGTGCTGCTCCTAGAACAGGTGGTCTTCCTTTACAAGGATCTTGATCCAGGGGCTACACTGTGAATTATAATTTAGGACAGGATTTGTCAGGGGCCCTGGCAAGTACACTGAAGTGTTTGGGGAGTTATTACTTAGGTCTAGTGGGCCTTGAAAGATCAGTAGGATTTTGCCATATAAAGAAAAGGTTGGCCAGTGTTCCAGGCAAAACCATGGAATCCATGAAAGGGTGATTCCCGACTCCAGCAAAATGAATGGGTAAGTCTTTCAGAAGGAAAAGCGCCAACCTTGCCACATTACAGGGCGCAGAGAAGACTAGACACAACTCTGCCCAGAAGCCTGCCTTCCTCCCCCACTTCCCCTCAGTTATCAACCGTCTCCGTGGTCAGGGGTCTTTCCCACCTTTCTGTTCTTTAAAAGAAATCTGCCTCCCTCAACCCTCATTTTCCCTTCCCAACAGCCCGCCCCACCCACACAAGAAAGGAGCTGCTGGCAGCCACATCTCTGCTTGTCTGAGCAGCGGCTGTGGGTGGCACAGCCTGCTCGGCTCTGGTGTTGAGGAGGCTGGGCCCTGGTCACGGCTGTCCCTCAGAGCTGGCGCAGAGCTAGGGAGACAGGTCTGGGTGGCATTAACCTACAGGTGACAGGTGGCTGATGTTACTCAGGAAAAAATGCCAGCACAAGAGAAGGAGGAGGAAGCTTGGTGAGAGGCCTTTAGGGAGAGAGAGTAAAGGCCAGACTCAAGCCGGAGGAGATGGTCACTGTTACCAATGGCTTCCGAGAGAGGGTGTAACAGGGAAGAAGGTGCTGCATTAGCCAGGCAGGAGCTGCTAGCACACTTTAAGAGAGAGATTTTAATTCAGTTGGTTGGGGTTGGGGGCACGAGCCAGATGCTCAGTGCTTGGACAAACGGAGGTGAGGAAGCAGAGGGAAAATGCTCTGTGCGGGCAGGCCGTTTGGATTCTCTGGTGCTCCTGAAAGAACAGCCTCTGGTGGCTGATGGCCTGCTCAGCACTGGCTCACCCGCACTCTGGCCTGTCTCTGCGCTTCGGCTTCCACAGCCAGGGAGTGCTGAAGCCCGGCCGGCAGCCTCACATCCTTACTGAAAGAGAAAGAACATAGCCAGATAGGTGTGCGGCCCTGCTTTCAGCAGCCGGAGCTTTCAGACAGTCTTACCACCTTCCCTACTGTTGTTTCAAAGTGCCCAGCAAAGCCTGATTAACAGAGCGCCGTCCCGAGACCTCTGGCAGGCAGTGGGCTGAGAGTGTCTCAAGGGTCAGTGCCCCGAATGCAGGTTTTTATCATCACCAATGCTATATAGTAGAGCTAAGGTCTTCTCTTTATATGTAGAACAAATTTTCTCTTGATGGATTATGTTGATTTTCCCCCACTTAGTTTAATCTAAATCCCAGCTATTAAATCTGAACAATGAAAAAAAGCCTTGAAGAGCCACACTATTAATAATAAGAGAAGTCATCTAAGTTTATCCAAGAGAACTAACTTTGAAAAGGGTAGAACTGACCAAATAAGAACAGTACTTAATGTACTGCATAAAAGATACAAACTTTTATTTTTACCCTGAATGTAACTCTGAAAAATATATAGATAGAAAACAGTCTGGCAGGTCCTCAGAAAGTTAAATATAGAGTTACCATATGAACCAGTCATTCTACTCCTAGAGAACTGAAAACGTATTCACAGAAAAACTTGCACATGAATGTTCACTGCAGCATTATTCATAATAGCCCCGAAGTGGAAGCAACCCAAACGTCCACCTCCAGTGAGTACATAAATAAATAGTGGTGCAGTCACACGATGGAATAGTATTCGGCCGTAAAAATGGATGACAGACTGATCCACGCCACAGCATGGATGAACCTTGAAAACATGCGAAGTGAAAGAAGCCAGTCACAAAGGCCGCATATAGTATAAATGCATTTATATCCGATGGCCAGAGGAAGCAAATCCAGAGAGAGTGGTTGTCAGGGCCTGGGAGGCAAGGGAAAATGGGGAGTTTCTGCTAGTGGGTGCAGGCTTGCTTTCTGGGGTAATGAAAATGATCTAGAATTAGATGGTGGTGACAATTGCACCACTTTGTGAATATACTAAAAACCACTGAACTATACTTTCAAATGGTTTAAAGGAGGAATTTAATGTTATGTAATTTTATCTCAAATCTTTTTAATCCATAGAAAACGTGAAAGTAATCTGCCCAAATGTCACAGTGATCGTGTTATGCTTATGAAATAATAGGCATTTTTTCTTTTTTCTCCCCCAAATTTATGCTAATATAGTTATAGCCATACTTATGCAATGAAAATATCAAATAAAAAATTTTAAATGAAACCAAAATGTTTCCATTTATCATATTGTTCTTCCCAGTTAATTTCCTACCCACATTTCTGTTCTCTCCACTTTGATTCCCCAAATACAGGTCACTGAATCCAAGGCGACCTGTGGAGGGAAGAGTTGAGATGTCAGTGACAACCTGTGGGTGGTTCTCATTAGTGTCCTTACAAGAGGGGAGCAGAGGGAGGTCTGACTGCAGAAGAGAGGGTGATGTGATGATGCAAGCAGAGAGCAGAATGATGCACTTTGACAGTGGAGGAAGGGCCGTGAGCTAAGAAATGCAGGTGGCCACTAGAAGCTGAGAAAGACAAGGGACGGATTCTCCTTTCACAACCTCCATGAGGAACCAGCCCTGCTGACACCTTGACTTTGGCCCAGTGAAACTGACTTTGGACTTATGGCCTTCAAAACTGTTAAAGATTAAATTAATGTTCTTTTAGCCTCTAAGTTTGTGGTAATTTGTTATAAAAGCAATGGGAAGTGAGCCTGGCCAGTGTGGCTCAGTGGTTGAATGTTGACCAATGAACCAGGAGGTCATGGTTCAATTTTTATTGGGGGGGGGGGCTCACTGCCTGGTTGTGGGCTTGACCCCCAGTAGGGGGCATGCAGGAGGCAGCTGACTCATCATTGATGTTTCTCTCTCTCCCCCTCTCCCTTCCTCTCTCTGAAATCAATTTAAAAAAAACATATTTAAACATATTTAAAAGCAATGGGAAATGATACTGATGGTGTATTTGTTAAATCTGTTTTAAAATGCACTTATTAGGGACCAGAGTCTGTAGTCTCCCAAATCGCTTTCAATTACAGGTATCTGCATGTCCTTCCTATTGGTGGCATTTAACCCCTCCTGCCTTCCCCCCTCCCTGACACCAGCTCCCACTCCCACCACTTTGTGCTATGTGGGCACTTTACAGTGAGTCTAAAGCTGCTGGAATAGAGTTAAGAGCAAAAGCAATAGCAACGATTCCCCAACCTGCACTAGATGGTTACTGTGATTGGCTCAGGGTCAATGTGCAGCCTTTTACTTAGCTATCAGCTCCGTAAGGGGTGACACCTTCAACAGTGAATGTCTGGCACATGGAAGATTCAATAAATGACCAACAAAAAAAGTGAATAAGAGAGAAAGAGATATTCCAACACATTCAACATTATCGAGGTACCTTTACATCTTGGGCAATGTTCTTCCTCTCCAGAAGAATTTCAGTGAAGGATCGATGTGCTAGCAGACGCTTCATGGTGGTTTGCACGAGGAACTGGACAGCTTTGGACACATGAGCAAGACTTCTTAGGAGAAGAGAGGCATTTTCTATTCGGTAGTAGCAGATGGCATCTATCTCCATTATAAACATGTCTTTGGTCACAACCTAAGCAGAAAAAAAAGTATGGCTGACAGGCCTGATTCTCAGACTCCTTTCCCATGCGGGGTTAGAGGAACTGGAACTAAATGTGTTCAAGGGGAATTTTCTCAGAGCAAGATTTTAGCAAGGAAATAGTAGTTGCCCACCCTTTATTCAAAATAGGCATGTTTCTGAAGATTATGGAGTTTTTATTAACTACACCAAAGAACTCACAATTTAAAGGAGTCCTGTTGTAAATCTTTTTGTAAAAAAAAATCAGGAAGAATTTTCTTATATGAAAACATCAGTTGTTTATCAGGTCTTTTTAAACTGATGCCAAAAAAATATGCTGAAAGAGAACAGTCTGGGAAACAAGCACTCGTATGTTCTGCGTGCTGGGTGTACACTAGAGGGCAGACTGGTGACGCACACCACGCACCTTAACAGACACGTGTTCTCAGCATCTCTGTGTTTAGAAACTATCATAAGGACAGAGTATAAGGATTTAGCTGCAAGAATGTTATTCACAGTATTGCTTACTGTAATAAGAAACTGGAAACAATATCAACAATGGGGAATTGTAAGTTGTGGTACATACATCCATACAATAGAATGCTATGTATCCATTTAAAATAAAAGGGTAGAAACACAGCTAATACATGAAAAGATCACAAAAATTGTTGGGTAAAAAAAAATCATGCTACCAAACAATGTATGGTTCGATATATATTCCTTTCTGTAAATATAACCATATACATAGATAAGTCTGAAAAGATACACTTCAAAACATCAATACCTATAGGTAATAGGATTGGGGATAAATTTCATTTCTTCCTTTTTTACATTTTATTATCTAAAATAAGCCTTTGATATATATGTAATTTTTATTTAACAAGAGAAAGATTGAGAAAAACTTCAAACTAAAAGTGGGGGACAATTTAGGAAAGGATTGTAAATCTAAATTACTAATAGAAAAATCTAGGTGTTATCTCTTCTTTTAATTTTTTATTGTGGTGAAATACACATATCAAATCTATTATCTTAACCATTTTAAGTGTACAGTTCAGTAGTGCTAAGTGCATTCATATTGTGCAACCCATCTCCCAAACTCATCTTGTTAAACTGAAACCCATTTAGCAACCACTTTTCCATTCCTGCCCCCAACCCCTGTAACCACCATTCTACTTTCTGTCTCTTTGAGTCTGACGACTCTGGGTACCTCATATAAGTGGAATCATCCAGTATTTGTGTTTTCGTGACCGGCTTATTTCACGGAGCTTAATGTTCTCAAGGTTCATCCACGATGTAGCATATGCTTGAATTTCCTTTTCAAGGCTGAGTAACCTCCGGTGGTAGGTATGCACCACATTTTGTCTGTCTGTTCAGCCACTGATGGACACTTGGGTTGCTCTCACCTTTTGGCTATTGTGAATAATTTTGCTACGAACATGTAAGTGTATGAATACCTCAAAATTTTGCTTTCTTTTCCTTGGGGTATATACCCAGAAGTCCCAGATCTTTAGGGTAGGTCAACGGGAGACCCAAGGAAGAGTAGATGTTGCTGCTCAAGTCTGAGAGCAGTCTGTAGGCAGAACTCTCTCCTCCTCAGGGGAGGTTAATCTTTCTCTTAAAGCCTCCAGCCCATTGGGTGAAGCCCAGCCACGTTATGGAGCACAGTCGGCTTTACTCAAAGTCTACTGATTTAAATATTAATCTTATCTAAAAAGGACTTACACAGCAACATCCAGATGTTTCTGACCAAATATCTGGGTACCAAAGCTTAGCCAAGTTGACACATAAAATTAACCATCACAAGTCCTTTTCCATTTTTAATTTTTATTTTTTTTGCTTTCTTGTTGTTATATTTCTTTATATATTCTGGATATTAACCCGTTAGCAGATACGTTATTTTCAAATATTTCCTTCCATTCCATAGGTTGCCTGTTCATTCTGTTGATTGTGTTCTTTGATGTACGGTTTTCATTTTGACGTAGTCCATATCTCTTCTACTTTTGCTCTTAAGTAGTCATTTTGCCCTGGACCAGAACTGGTAGCTCAGCCATGTAAAATGTAGAGAGAGAGCAAAATCCATTATTTGGCTTACCTCATGAAAGGGTACCTCCAAGGTTTGGAGACGAAGGTCAACCTTGTGGTAGGTATCCAGGCAGGGCAAAAAGAAGAAAAGCCCTGGAAGGGGAGGGGGTGACAGGTGAAAGGCTAGCATGGAGACTGTTTGGGGTTCACTTTTGGGGGGTCAGGTTTCACATTGCATTGCTTTTCTTAACCTGCAACTATATACAGGCCATGGGGTGATCCCACCATTGCCCCTACAGTGTGTTTCTTGTTGCAAAGGTTACCATGTAATTGTTGTTCAATCTGGAATACTTTTGAGGGTGAAAAGAAAGCACTGTTACAACATACTCCAGGACAACAGGCATAAACAGAGATGGGCCCCAGCAAATAGGCGGTATGGCCACCTTGGTCATGGTGCGGACTGCTCCACATTCTGGGGTGACATGTCTGTCTCCTTCCCTAGATTTGAATTCCCTGACAGGAATGTCTTACGCACTGACAGGAGTGTTAGCTTTACTACCTGACTGAGTGCCTTTTAGGTGCTCATAAAATTAATTTTGAATCCATGCCCGTACCAAGGTGACAAACTTTAGAGCCAGCAACTTCCATGTTGTATTTCTTAAATGGTGAGCCCCAGAAGTAATCAGAATCGCGATATCATGATACCAGCCTTCTCTTTGGTTAATTATTCGTCATCCACCCAATGCAATGTTCAGGGTCAATGTGCAATGAATATTTTCAGGTTGACTTATTGAGATTTTTCTGAGATCCCACTGGACACTGTGGGCTCCTTTAGAGCCAAAGCTTTGTTAGAAGCAGCAGCAGCTCACAGAGCCCAGGATCTCTCCGGGAAGCCCAGCTACTAGTCCTTTCTAGCCCCAATCGAGGATGCCAAAAACTAGAGCCAGCCAGTAGTCCCTGTCCTAGAACTACTGGCTCTGGCTCTACTTTTGTGTGGACCCATCTGTTGATTATGAATCTTCAAACTTTGATTTGTGTCTTCTAGTCTGGTCTCTATTCTCCACCTGTTTCTGTAGAGCTGGCTGGGAACTTGGATCCTTCCCAATATATGCACCCTGGTATTTTCCTCCTCATGCTTTCCTAGCTCGCTTGAATTCCCAAACCCCAACTACTAGACTTTCCAGACTAACCATACTTCTATCAGTGCCCATTAGCAGCTTGGACCTCCGAACAGCAACTCCACTAGACATTAAGGCCCTAGAGGTCAGAAACCATGTCTCATTCCTCCACCTTTATATCTCTGGAGTTATACAGTATCTGAAGTACAAGAAGTGCTCAATCTATGTATCTTAAATTCCACCAACTAAAGACCAGTTTTTTACTTGGACCTTGAACTCTGCCTATCTCCCATACTTTGGTTTGACCCTCTAGACTCTGAATTAGCTCCGCTTTGCTCTGAGAATTCACAGAACTCTGACCATACACACATTCTATTAAAACTGATGCCTGGCCATGGGTTCTAAGGCTACTTGTTACTCCAGCCAGCCTGGCCCTGGCATTTAGCTCTCTGCAGCCATTCCCTCTCTTGGTTATTGTGACCTGGTAGTAATGCTCTCTGAAGAATTTCTTAATAAACCATGTTACAAGTAACAGATTAGAAAATGGAGATATCATAAATCAAGTTACTTCATGTAATCTGAAGTTCATATGACAAATATGCATGGATTAAAGAAATTGGTAAGTCTACAGGGAGTTAAAAAAGTGTTCCTTACCTGGGCCTTTTGCTCTTCCTGGAAGCAGATGTCCCAGTCGGAATATAATTACTCTCTCATGTTCCTGTACAATCTAAAAGGAAATTTAATACTTTTGAATCACTCCAAGAAAGAAAAAGAGAGTCTTCCAAAGGCCTTCACATGAGAGTAATCCTAGGTATCAGGAATCTTTTGTTTTGAGAACCAAGAAAAAACTTAATACTTAGGCAGCCAAAATCTACATTTAGTAAATGTAGAATTTCAGAAACCAATGAAAAAGTATATTGGCCATGTTCATTTTCAAGACTGTGAACAGAATTTTGATTAAAGAGTCATGATTATCTAAAAAAAGAATGGCTCCACTAATGTCCAGCATTCCCTAAATCAAAGAAATCACAGCATGTCTACCACAGCATGTTCAATCTTGTATTTTTCTGTGACTTCTGAATAATTAGCTTCGATATGTATTAATTATTAGTTAACAGAAAAGGAGAGTATATTTTAATACCACTTCTTCTATTTTGTTTCAAACTGTGAAAAATATCATAAAATAATACCCTGATCTTCTACCTCAGGACACTGGAAATAGAAGAGTGAACTAAACCTAAGGCAGGAAGAAAGAAAGTAATGAAGGTTAGAGTGGAAATAAATGCGATAGAAAACAGAAAACCAGCAGAGAGAATTGATAGAATCAAAAGTTGGTTCTTTGAAAAGATCAACAAAATTGACAAATATTTAGCTAGACTCACCAAGAAAAAAGAGAGAAGCCTCAAATCACTAAAACAAGGACTCAAAGAGGAAAGATACAGGGACATCACTACTGTCCTTAAGGAAACAAAAAATATTATAAGAAAATACCATGAACTATACACCAACAAATTACAGCGTCCTATAGATACACAAACTACTAAAACTGACTCAAGAAGAAAAAGAAAAGCTGAAAAGAACTACAAGTAAAAGATTAAATTAGTAGCTTAAAATTTTCTCACTAAGAAAACTCCAGGATTAGATATCTTCACTGGTGAATTCTGCCAAACACTTAAAGGAAAAGTAACACCAGTTTGTCACAAATTCTCCCCCAAAAATAGGAGGAAGAGCAATCAGCAGTGGCCCCAGCAGCATCCTTAATGCTCCAGTCAAGGGTACGCTCTTGCCTGGCAGCTCCAGGCGATGGCTAAGCACGGCAGGGGCTATTTCTGCCCACTGTGGGACTCGCCCCTGAATCAGGCTTTGCCCTGGGGTTCCCCTGTAGGCTGGACAAGACTTTCTTTACAGCTGCACCACGGTCTGAGGCTACTTCTGTCCAACCCTTTCCTTCCTCTTCTCACAGCAAAGGTGTCAGGCCTGCACCCCTGCCCGAAGGCTCCCCCTGCCCACTCTCATTCCCCTTCCCTTAATATTTCACAGACAACGCCACCCACAAATCCCTCGCATTTCTAAATCTTCCCAAACTGGTGCAGGTCTCCATTTACTTCAGGGGCAAGCAAGTGTCCCACCTGTGGGCCAAGATGATTGTTATTCACGGTCCATGGAAGCTGCCTGAGAAGCTTCCTGGAAGTGTCAGATTGGGCATCATGACGTCTTTGGGGCTGGTCTCTGTGCTACTGAGGGCAGATGGCCTAGGTGCCGCCTCTGTCCTGAAAGGGCTCTCAGGGTAATGGGAGAGACCAGGTGCCAACAAATATTATACATGTGCTAGAATGGATGTGAAAGCATGAGGAAGGTAACGACAGTCTAGGGGAGTCAAGGGAGGCTCCCCAGTTACAGCTGAGCAACGTCTTAGAGGAGTAAGCGCTCTCCTGCACGGTGAGTGGGAGGGCATTCCAGGCAGAGCGGACAGAGTGGGGAGAGTTAGGGAGAGGCTCCGGGCAATTACTTCTTGGGTCCTCATGGGATCTCACCTTTATGCAGAACCAAACAGAAAAAGGGAAGGTCACGATGATGAAGAGCAGGGACGCGAGGACAAGAAGCCACTCACAGGCCCCTAAACCAGACGACTTGGTGCCTTAAAAATAAAAAAAGAACAAGTGTATTAAAACTTCGCCATCGTCACTGACTAGTGCATGTTGGTCAAGTCCTTGCTGCTAGGGTCAGAGCAGTTTGTAGACTTTGATGGGAATATCAGAGTGAGCTGGGTATCGGAGAAGGCAGTTCCCAGGGCTAGTGTGCTGTTGGTGCGAAGGCCTCGAAATTCCTTCCTACAGTAGTTCAGGGATGCGAACAGAAAACGAATCCCTAGACCCAAAACCTAACTTGAAGCTTTGCTCACAAAATATTACTCACTTGGAACGAGTTCCTTGAATATCCAATTTGTTTCATTTAAGTGACTAGCGAACCATTCGATGTTAAAGCAGGAGGAGTCTTTAGATATGACACAGTCCAAGAATCTCCAGCATTTTGGTAAAGGGAAGCTCCTTTTCGTTTCTCCCAGATCTTAAGCAGCCTGGCTGGGGGTGTGCGGTGCTGAGTGAGGATGTTGCTGCCTCTCGCTTCCCTTCCTCCTGGGAGCCACAGAAACCTCCCAGCCAAGGGCTCAGCAAGGCTGCCTCATCCTCAGTGAGTCGTCTCATCCACTGCTTAGGGCCCCAGACTCCAGTCACTTGGTAGCTGGAGAGACCGAGTGAAGCCCACACATGTGAAGCTATTTGCCCCACAGCCGGTTGGCGGCAGTGCTGGGACCATGACCAGAAGTCAGGGGCAGCACTATGCAAGGGGGGGCTTTTCCACCAGCCTGTCTTACTCTAGAATTCCGGCTTCTCCACTTCCCCGCTGTAGGCCTTGGGCAAGTTTCTTAATTTCTCAGCATTTTCCTTCATCTGTGCTATGGGAATGATAATACTCAGCGAAACACCTTGCCTCCCCCTCCGATGTGGTCTGAAGCCCATAGAAGCCCTCTAATCTCAGCCTCACTGTAGCACTGAACCCAATAACCATTTAATGACTGGACCCTTCTGACCGATGGAAGGGCATCACGTGGGCAAAACAGCATTCACAGGGTCCGTACGACGTGGCCCTGACTGCACAAGTCCTTCTCAAATCACAGCTTTCGGTGCTCCAGCAGGTACTGCATTGCTGGTCACCAGGACACGTTAAAACGTCACAGCCGGCAGAACGCAGTGTAATGCAACGATTCCTTATTTAATTTCCTTTAAGCTTCATCCTGCACTTAAGGTGTAATAATTCTCCCCCCTTTTGCTCATTATTAAAAGGACTGGAAGCAGATAAACGTGTTCCTATGGGCTGCTTGACCTGCAGAAGCCAGACGCCTCTCCCTGCGAGTCCCTCCTTTGACCTAACCTGGCTCTCTCTCAGCTTGAGGGGTCCTGTTTTAACCGAGCGTGCTCCTTGCTCCAGGCTTTGAGCACAGTGCTCTGGACGCCTCATCGGTGACCCTCACAGCTACCCTCCGAGGCAGGCGCCGAGGAATGAGCCCGTGGCTAGCGCGCGGCTGGGCTGAGGCCTGAACTCGGGTCTGGCTCTTCTCTGCCTCTGTGTTTAGAAAAACGATCATCCCAGGGAAGCGTGACCAGGCTTCCGGGTGGGCCTGCAGGGTGGGTACGAGGAAGGCCCGGTGCTGCAGAGCTGCCCAGGGCCGCCAGCTCACGCGCCCACAGGCTCTCCCATGGGCGCCCACGGGCTCTCCCATGGCCTCGAACCCCGGCTGCAGGGTTTCTCGGCCGCGCGGGCTGGGCCCGCCTCCCGCGCCTGGCTGGCCCCTGAGCCAAGGGTACTGGGTTGTG